GTTCTTATGTTATTTGCATCAGAATCACCTGGAGAGGTAAGTCGGATGCAGCAAGGCTGGGTGGGCCCCTGGAATCCGTATTATTAACAAGTGTCTCCTGCCTAGAGGTCTCTGCTGCAGGTGGCTGGAGCCACTGCACTTGGAGAAATATAGGACCTGAGGGGAGGAATGGAGGTGAGAGCCCAGATGGCTGGGCCACCACAGCAGTGGGACCTCTCAGGATGCTAGCTTGTGTCTCGCTGGAAGCTTCTACAGTAACCATCTCAGGGAGAGTCCAACCTAAACTCATGGTCCTGAAAGTTTGCAGGTAATTTCTGTATGTTTGATCTCCGATCACATTCAGAACAGTAATGGGTACATTTTTCTCACTTGGATAATGCAATAATCCAATAACGTGGAGGGATATATAATAGTTCAAGTTTAGTTAGCACTTCCCACAAGCCAGGCATTAAGCGAGGACTTTCTCTGTACTAAAAAAAACAAAAAAAAAAACAAAATGAAATCATTCTTCCCATCTCACAGGTGAGGAACCGGAGGCCACTTTCCCAAGGGTCACTTTCCCAAGGTCACACAGCCTGAGTAGGGATTTGAGCCCAGGCAGGCTGGGATTCCACAGCCCATGCAATAAGCTGTGTCCCCTTCAGGATGTCACTTTGGGGTACTGTGAGGGTGTTATAGGTTGGAGTTTCTGGCAGGGGCCGAGGTACCAGGTGGGACTAAGTGGGGTACAAGTGTGAGGGAGTGTGGGACATCAGCCCCCTGGGCCTCCGACTCACTAGGGTCCTTGGCTACCACCTGGGAATCCTGACTCAGCTGTGCCCAGTGGGAGACTCCTCGCAGCTCCATTCAGTTCATAGTCAAGGCCTGGCCTTTCCGCTAGGGCTGTGTGGCCTTGGGCACGGTGCTTCCCTCTGAAGCTGGGACATACTCAGGAGAGCACCCAACATGGAGAAGGAGCTCAACAAATGGAGCTCTTCGTTATCATTTGATAGTGCGAATACAGCCATGGTGACAACCTGGGTTTGTTTTTTGTTGTTTTTTTAAGAAATTTTACTGGGGAACAGTGTGTTTTTCAAGGACCCATCAGCTCCAAGTCAAGTAGTTGTCTTCAATCTAGGTGTGAAGGGCACAGCTCCGTGGCCCATGTGGGGATCTAACTGGCAACCTCGGTGTTATGAGCACTGTGCCCTGCGCTCTAACCACCTGAGCTAACCGGCCACCCCAATAGCCTGGGTTTTGCTCCACCATTCAGATTCCACGTAGACGGTAGGAGCACATAGCTGGTGCTTCTCTCTACCCAGCAACCAGCCATTCATTCCCTCTTCTTCAGGTCAGAGCAGTTTCACTTGCAGATAACTTGTATTTCTGTAACTTATAGCTGGACTGATTCCATGAAGAGGTCGGAAACTAACATTTATTGAGTGCCAGCTGTGTCCTAGGTACGGTAATGACTAAATCATTTAATCCTCAGGACAAGCCTGTAAAGCAGGTGCCAATATTCCCATTCGTTGATGTGGAAACTGTAGCTCACAGAGGTTTAGTAACTGTGCGACGTCACAGACCCGGGACTCAGATCTCATGCTCCAGCCCAGCCCAGCCCAGCCCAGCCCAACCCATTTTTGAAATAAGTGAGCCATTAAGTTTATGTGTGATTGGCTTTTCTAGGAGAGGCATTTATTTATTCAGTAAAGACTTACTGAGCCTCCTGTGTGCCTGGCATGGTGCTAGGCCCTAGGGACAAGAACCCCACAGACAAGCCCATCTTCATGGAGCACTCATCAGGTGGCAATAGCTGCCTGTGACATTATTGTGAGAGGACTGAGTCACCTCTGGGCTTGGCAGAATACAGTGGCTGATTACCCACGTCCGCCAGGGGTACTGTTAGGGAGTTTCTGAGTGTAGGCTGAACATTACACACCCGTGTTTTAGACTTTTGAAGATTGTTATATAAATGTGTAAGAAAGCAGAAATACATCCTGGTCAGAGCACAGGTTCCAATTTTTATTTTGAAAATAGCCACTGCAGATCTAATAACCAGGCCTTGCCTTCAAGGAACTTAGACTGGCAGCCTACAGTACCCATGCATATATGATTACCACTGAAGAATGAACTGTGAAGTCTGATCCAGAGCTCAGAGGCAGGACAAGCCACACGATGGGGACGTCCAGGGAGGCTTCCTGGAAGAGGAGTTCCGAGGACGTGGCTAGGTGGAGTGGGGGCAGGGAGAAGACATTCTGGAAGCAGTAGCGCAGGTAAAGGTATGGAGCTGCGAAGTGGGTGTCAGTGGAGAGGATTCCAGTCTCGCTGGGGTAGAGGTGCTGGGGGGACAAGGGTGAAAAGGCAATAGGGGCGGGGATGGGGGTGGAGACCATGGAGGCCTCAATGTCAGGTCTGGGAGTTTAGTCCTGACCCTAACCCACCCTCCTGACCCTTCAGCAGGTGGCCACTGAAGACTCTGAGCAAGGTTATGCCCAATGAAAGCTACTTCTTGGTGGCTGGAATAGGGAGAAGTCAGAGAGGTGGCTAGAACACCATGGACTGGAAAGACAGCCCCGTGTAGGTGGGGTTAGGGGGCCTGGGTCCTAGTCCCAGATCTATGCTGACGTGCTGTGACCACAAGCACGTCCGCTTCCTTCTTCTCTTAAAGGCCCTTGCAGACCATGACTGACTGAAATGCGCTGAGTGTGTGGGTGTGGGGATGGGGGGTGTCACTGTTCTGTTAGGGTTTGTTTTCTACTTTCCTTTGCCTTCAAGACCTGGTCTAAGGTAGGCCCATCATCCATGGTTTACCTCACGCTTCAGGTAAATCATGGCTCAGACCTGGGGCGTGTCCGCACCTCAGCTTCAAGCAGCATTTGTCTCCCAGGAGACAGAATGTGACCTCGGAGCCACTTTCCAGCTGTGTGACTTGGAAGGACTGTGCCTCTCACACCTGCTTCACAGAGAGGACAGCAGCCATAGAGGTGATGCCTTGAAGGCATCTGAGGCAGTGTCTCCTGCTCCGAGGGCAGAAAGTGCTCACTTAGTGGCAACTGCCTTTCTTGCTATTGTTCCTGTTATCTTTCCCGTGTGGGACTCCAGAAAGCACTCAGAGGCTCGCAGTTACCCGCTCCGTGGGGCTGGACACCAGCTGGGCCCCTGGTCAGGATGTGATGCCCAAGGCTAGTGCAACTCCGCCCAGACATGTCATGGGAACTGTGGCTTGGGCCTGCCTGGCCTGGTAAGCAGCCCTGATACTCACCCCACCCTGTGTGGGTGCCCTGCGTCATTCCTATGGGAATTCCCAGCACGTGGGTCCCCAGTCTCTTCCCAGGCACCAAGTGTGACAGTCACCTCTGTACAACCAAACCTACCAGGACCTAAATTAAATTTCTCCCCCTTTTCTGTTTAATTTTATATGAGTTTTTTTGGGGCTTAGTAATACAAATTTTTCAAAATGTAAAAGGCACCAAAAAGTGTGCTATAAGTAAAAAAAAAAACAAAAAAACCCTTCCACCCCAGCACACAACCCTTAAGTTCCCCTTACTGGAGACAACCAATCTAAATTCTTTTTAAAAATCAATTAAATTGAGTTTGCTCTCCCCTTACAAAAATCATAAGCATGCAAAATAAAACAAAATCCCACCACCTTGGAATACACACACAAGTACAAACCAAAAACCCTACCCACAATCCCCTATCCAGATTTTCAGCATTTTAGTATATGCCCTCCCAGACTGTTTTCAATACATAGCCACTTTTCAAAAAACGAAAGCAAAACACAGTATCACAATATTGATTTTTCAATATCTTGCCAGTGTCCCAGGATCATTTCCTTATGGCTTCTTCCTTAACTGACTTTGGTAGCCGTGTTGATATTCCACAGCTACTTATTTAACCAGACCTATGATGGGCATTTGGGATTCTAGATTTCCCTATTATCAGCAACATGGTGATGATTGCCTACTTGTTTATTTCCTTGTAACAAATTCCTAGAAGACAAAATGCTGGGTCCCAATTTTTAAGACCATGGAAACCAAAAAAACTGCCCTCATGTTCAGGACTGGTGTCCAATCCAAGTAGGATTTCCTCAACACCAAGACATCTTGGTTTAAACTCCTCTCAACAGCTATGTATGCCCCACCCCCACATCTAGACTAAGGCCAAAAGTCCTCCTCTGGCCTGGTGACCTGCTGTTTACCCAGCCACAGAGAACTACCTGGGCCTGTCCCAGCCCTGGGTGAGTCAGCTGACCAGGGAGCGGGCACCACCCTTCCCGCAGCAGGAACACAGCTGGGACAAGGGCCACCACCTTCCAGGGAGGGAAACAGACTCTCTCAGCAGTGACTGGAGAAGGACGCGCAGCAGCTCCTGACCTGCAGGTAAGACCTGGGGCCCCCATATGAGCTGGGGCTGAGGTGAGCGAGACTTGCTCTCACCCTGTCCTGACCCTCCTGGGACTTCCCAGGCGGTTTCCTTTCAAGGGGCTTCAGTCTGGGAGCAAAGTATAAACTGGGCTTTCCTCTTCTGACCCCAGCCCTGGGCCAGGTTTGAGGGATGAGAGGTATTTATCCAGACGATGGCCCCTGGCTCCTTCTGACTGCCTATGAGGGTGCTCAAGGAGATGGGACCCACCTTTCTTTGTTCCTTGAAAGGCCAGGCAAAAAGCCAATTTCTACAAGGAACTGAGAGTGCCAGACTCAGTTACTTCTCTGCTTGAAGCTGTTTCTATCAACCACTTCCCTACCCCGCAAGGGAAGCCTGCTGGGGAACTGGGTTGGTGGCTTAACCTAAGAACTGGTTTCCTTTGGAGACTGGAAATATCCCCACCAAGTCAGGAGAACTGAATGAGATAATGGATATAAGGGGCCAGTACGTGCCCTCCACACAGCAGTCCCAGAAACAGTTCTTAGAACAAGGCTAATGTGTGTCGGCTGCTTTCCATGCAGTAGCCCCAAACTCGTAACAATCCTTACGCTACCATCACTTCTCACCTGACTCCCTGCATCTACCCTGGTTCCTCTAATCTATTCTCCAAACATCAGCCAAAGGAGGCCTGTTAAAATGAAAGTTGGACCACGTCACTGCTGCAGTCTCCAGTTGCTCCCATCTCACCAGAGTCAATGCCAAGTCCTTGCTATGACCCACAGCCCTCCAGGATCTGGCCCCTCTCACTACTTCCCCTCTGAACCACCAACTTCAGTCGCACTGGTCAGATGTTACCTAAATGCAATAGGCACTCCCACCTCAGCTGCTGCAGTGGCTCTGCCCTCAGCCTGAATGCTCTTCCCTGCCCTTTTGGCTTTTACTCATCACCCATCACCCCCAGCACGAGGCTCTCTGGATCTCCCCATGCTCTCTAGCCTTCATCCTGCATTATCTTTCTCCCCATCATTTCCCACCATCTAACACAGCATACGCACTTATTTATCCAGCTAGAAAGTAACACTCCTCAAAGGCAGATTTCTTTTGTTCACTGCCTTATTACTGGTACCTAGAACAGTACTGGGACTTGGGCACTCAGTAAATGTACTGAATGAACAACAGCTAGTGATTACTGCATGGCCTTTGTGCTAGGTACTGTGCTAAGTGCTTTCCATACATAGCTTATCTCTTTTAAAGAATCTTTTAATCTCTACGATAACTCTATGATGCAAGTATTGTTACCCATATTACAAATGAAGAAATGATATTCAAAAGGGACTTGTCCGTGCTTGCTCTCACAAGTCAGAGGCAGCAATCAGAACCTGTCCTGCCTGCCTCCAGGATCCTTGCTCCCACTGTTTCTCCTGGGCCTGGGTTTGGGGGTGTCTGCATTCCCTGAAGAAGTCCACAGCTTTTCTCCAGCAGGCAGCACTCCCTGGGAGGATGTGGCGGGTATGTGCTGGTGGCCTAGCAACAGCCTCTTACTTTCCGACTCACCATATCCCTGGGCTAATTTGGCCTTCCAGGAGCTATTCCTTTGACAGTCTAACCTACGCATCCCTCCCGCACAGGCTTCTGAAGGATGGATGAGTTGTCCACAGAACAAGTGGGAGTCCCCTAGTCAGTTCTTTGGAACAAAATGTTCCAGAGCAGTGTTCTCACTCCAAGTCCAAAGACGGGGGCTGACAACCCCTTTTCAGCCCTGCTGATCTCTGAGGACCTGACTGCTGGGTTGGGTGTTGTTATTGCTTATAATATCAAAAAGTACAGAAGTTGAGGGATGGAAATTCTGGTAAGTGCAGTGGGAGAGGAAAATTCCTCTGGGAGAGATGGGCTCTTTTCCTGTTAGAGAGACAAATGGCAGGAATCCATCAGCACCAAACTGAGCAAACTCTTCCATTGTCAGAGTGTAAGTGCCAGCCTTTCAATCTGCCTCATTGACGCACTGGTTTTCTTCTCCCTTTCTAGGCCCAGAGTTTTTCTTCAAAGGACTTCTTTGGGCTTTCTCTTCCCTGTGTCTACTTTTCCACGCCTTTAAGAAACAGTAACTGGGGATCCAGACATGAGAGACATTCCTGACCAGAGAGGGAGACAGGCAAACAAATACAGCACAGTGGAAATCCAACCCAGGGAATGCCAAAGGTCTTGATCACAATAAGTGCTTATTCAGCATTAGTGGGATGAATGATGAATAGGTGAATATGAGATTTTGTGGTCTAGAGAAGGGAGGTGGCGGGTGTGGGGACTTTGGGGGAAAACTTAGAATTGTAGTTCACCATAAGGAGGGAGAAGGTGTGAATGGCATTCAAGATACAGGGAATAGCACCTGCGAAAGCAGGGAGGCATGAACAAGCTCGGTGAGTTTTAGGATCAGAGAGCCGTCTGGAATGAATGAAATGGGAGGGTGAGTGTGGAAGAGTGAGATGAGACTGGCGCGGTACCAGGAGTCAGGTCATGGAGAGCTGAATGCAAAGTTGAAGTTTGAGATTTACTCTGAAGGCAACCGCTGAGTATGACTTCAAGAGCAGGAGTGAGGTTAACTCCCCGATTTCTGGTTCTGACCATGATGTGGACTTGGTGGGGCTGCTGTACTGGGGCAGCAAAGCTCGGGAAAAACGGGTTCAGGAGGTGGTAGAGATCCGAAGGCAGCTGGACTCGTAGGCCTGGGCCTCCCTATCCCTGGAATGGCATATTCCACTCCTACCCTCCTGAACCTTCATACTTCACAGTCTCGACTCAGGGTCTCCTTTCTTCCTCCAGGAAGCCTTCCTGGTTGCCGTAGCCTTTTGTACTGCACCCCATAGGCCCAAATGCCTGAACCCCATTCGAAAGAACTGTGGGATCAGTTTTGCTGTGGAAAGTGATCTGCCCAGTCAAGCACAAGTCCCCTATCCCGGGCAGCAGAGGCTCAAATCATTCAGTTACCCAGTGGGATCTCAGGGTAAATCTGAGTGGAGTGGAGCAGGGCACTTGCAGCTCAGCAGCCGGGTCAGAAGTCAGGGCCAGGCAAGAAATCGGTTAGAGAGTGGGAGGGACGGCGACATCACAAAGGGCAGGAAATAGGGGGCTGAAAGCGCTTCCGAAATCGTAGGGAGCAAGGGAAGGCTTCCTTCCTCTTCAGTTCGAGCAACAGGCAGCGGGGAGCGCAGGCGTGTTGACTGCTTTCCTCCCCTCCCACAGGGCCTTAGTACAGAATCTTTGCAGCGGGTGGCTCAACAGCGCCCTCCGTCGTCGGAGGCTGTAAATGGCCCTCAGAAGTCAGGAGCGCGAGGAGGCCAAGGGACACTCGCCCCTTTAAAGCTCGATTTGACCCGCGCAGCGCACAGCCCAGTAAAGAGGGGATGCGGAGCCTGACCTACCCCTTACTCTGAGGCTCTACCTGATCTCTCGTGGATGCCGGCGCCACTCATGGGCGCCGGATGAAGGCGAGAGGCCAAGTGGCCTTCAGTAGCCCACTACGCCAATAACCCATGTGGCGTGAGAGCCACCACTTTTCACCCAGCAACTCCGGGGCATCCTGGGACCCGCCCGTAGCCGCGCGCAGGCCAGGTGAGGCGCATGCGCTCTAGACTCCAGCAGCGCGCCCTAGCGGCCTGGCGCGCGTCTCTGCGCAGTCGCGGTGGCCCAGAGGAACCCGGAGAGGTTGCGTCTAGCTGGGTTCGGAGTGGGAGTCCTTTGGAAATGATGGAACGGTGTGACAGATTAGGAAACTTGAGGCCTTGAGTGAGGAACAGGCGCTAGGGGCCGTTGGCGCTTTCTCCGGTGCCCCAGTGCGTGGCGTTTGTGCTTGGCTGTTCCCATTTCACAAAGAAATTGAGGCTGAGGGCGAGGGCGGGTTCCTTCACACCGCCCTGGGTAAACACAGCCCGAGTGATCCCCTCTCTTTATCACAAAGGCGAGAGGAGGGCAATGAAAGTAATTTATAATAAGAGAATATACATTTCACTATGTAAAAGCTCAGACTGGGTCATACCCGATCATGCCTAATTTATTTTTTATTTTTTTTAAAGATTTTTATTGGGGAATTGGGGGATGGGAACAGCGCTGGGGAATTGAGGGAAGGGGAACAGACAAGTTGCTGTCGTTTTGTTCTTCAGTCTAGTTGTGGAGGACGTTGCTTCACTGGCCCAAGTTGGCACCATCATTGTGCTCCTCCCGGACGAGGCAGATCAGTCGCCGGCTTCTGGACGGCCGCTCGCTGCGGCTGCTGGCCGCTCACGCTGGCTGCTGGCCATGGCTGCTGGCCACACACGGTAGCCCATGACAACCCACTGCCACAGGGGCTGCAGCCTACGCCGTGGCTGGCGACTCACAGCAGCCCAGCTCCAGGTTGAACTGTTGTTCAGCATCTTAGCTGTGGAGGGCAGTGTCACTGGCCCTCATATGTGGGATCCGAACCGGGGCCTCTGGCGTCCCAAGCCAGTTCTTAACCATCGCGCCACTCGGCCGGCCCCGATCATGCCTAATTTAAAACGAGTACATTTGGATTTAATAGAAGACAACATTCAACTGAAATTTGCCAACAGTTTGTATTTGACACCTTAAGTCAAAGGCTAAATGTATTTGTAAACAGATGTAGAATCACTGTGACAGCCACAAATGCAAACACACATGGGTGTGTTCTGGTGACTCACCTGTGCTGAGAAAGATGGACAGTGATTTTCCAAAATGGTAAAGCAATGTGTAACTTCCCTCAATTTACCTGGTGTATGCATTTCTGGATAATATGTTGTGTATTAAGGCTGGGGGGAAGCTCGTCTTTGTATATAAGACAAGTTATAAACCAGTGTTTCGCCTACATGAAGGCTTGGTAGGATATTGGAAAGCTGTGAGGACAGAGGACAGTTTGTTGTCGTGAACTATTCTGTGCATTAGGAGAGGTCCTGATGTCGGCGCCCTTCTTCCTAAAGGCTAGTAGTGTTCCCCCAGTCCTGTGACATCCAAAAATGCCCATACAAATTTCCACTGTGTTCCTTGGAAAACCACTGATTTATTCAGTCGATTTTTGCCAGCATTCATGTGCTGGGCACTGTTTTAATGGGGCGGCATAATGCGGTGAACAGGAAACAATCCCTGCCCTTCTGAGGTTGGGTCCAGTATAAGCAAATACCCAGATGTTAATCGTATGATAAACAGCTTGACAATAGAGGCAGTACAAGTCAGGGTTAGGAACACAAGAAGACCCAGACAGCTAGCAGAGGGCCCCATGGCCTGAAAAAGCCAACCAGAAGGTAGCATTTGAGCTGAGCCTTGAAAGAGCACCACACAGAGAATGGTGGTGTGCCAAGCAGAGGGACCAGTATGACCAAAACAGGTCCAGGGTCTCTGGCACACAGTAGGCACTCAAATGTGAATAAATAGATAATTGAAAGAGACACAGAGCATATTTGCTGATGGGGAGCGATTCCTCACTGTATCACGAACTGCCTAAAGGTAGGGGGAATACCTGCTTCCTAATTCTGCTCAGACCCCCAAATTGAGCCGGGATCCAGTGAAGGTGGCCGTGGTGAAAGGGTCCCAGATACAGAGAAATGGTTGTGTGGTCCTGGCCTGAGGGCGATTTCTAGGAAGTGGATCTCTGATTCTGCTCTCACATAGGGCAGCTGCTAAAAATAAAACCGCTCTGCTGCTTCAGTGTTAGGAAAAGCAGGGCAGGGGTGGCCTCTTATTTTCACATCTGCCGTTCATGTGTGATCCTGGTGGCAGGGCATATTTTTGGCAGATGATACCTTCTGAGGACTGTCCCAAGATAAAAATCTCCCAGTGTGTGTGCACAGTGGGGAAGGCCACAGGGAAAGCGCCCCCCCCCCCAAGCTGGTGTGCAGGAAGTCAGAGCCAGTCTCCCCCTCTCCCCCTAGGCAATCCCTGTCCTCTTGAGAGGATCATTTCTGCCCCAAAGGCCAGGCTAGGGCAAGCATCTGGAACTGCCTGCCTCTGGGAGCCAAGCAGTAGTGTGAATCAGCTGGCTGGGTGCTTCAGGAAACAGGAAAGCATGGGCAGCCCCATCTAGGAGGTAGGCTGCAGCTCAGCCCTGGCGGAGTGTTCCCGTGCTCTTGCATTGCCAAATATTTTTATTTTTTCAATACAAGTTTAGAAGTGAAGAATTTTATATTTCCATAGTTTAAAATGTTGGCACTAATTCAAATAAAACCCAGAAAACAAAAAAACAAGACTGTAAGAGGTGAACAGAACACATTTGAGACCTCTGGGCCATTTCCATCCTAGGAGGGTAGATGTCCTTAAGATAGCAGAGTTTTACTTTAAAGGAGAAAAGTGATATTACTGAGTTAGTGTCCATACTAGGGGCTAGGGGTTCCGCAGCAAAGGAGAAGACCCAGTTCCTGCCTTTTGGGAACACCCAATCTCACAAGGTAGATTGACAAGTAAAGAGACAACTACAGGAATAAGGAATAATCAAGAGTAAGGACATAGGGTGCGAGTCGGGGGAGAGAGCACAAATCAAGGCAGGCTTCCTGAAAGAAGAGTCCTCTGGTCTGCAACTTTAAACTGATTAGGAGTAAAAAAAAAAGGGAAGGGATTAAGAAGCACAAATTGGTAGTTACAGAATAGTCAGGGGGATGTAAAGTACAGCATACGGAATATAGTCAATAACATTGTAGTAACTGTGGATGGTGTTAAATCCAGATGGGTACTGGATTTAACAGCGTGATCACTTCGTAAGTTATACTTGTATAAATGTCTAATCACTATGTTGTACACCTGAAACTAATATAATACTGTATGTCAACAGTAATTGAAAAATAAAAATAATATATTTTTTAAAAAAGAAAATGATTAGGAGTTAGCCAGGCGGGAAATGGAAGGGGGGGAGGGGTACTCCAGAGAGAGGGAATAACACATGCAAAGGCCCGGAGACATGGAAAATCTTGATTAATTCAAGGATCTGAAAGTAGCTCCTTCCTCACATTTCATCTAGGAAGGAAATAAAGCCTGATTGGCGAGGTAATTCCTTTGAATTGCTTTGGGTACCTTGCTCCAAGGGCCTACTGATTCTCTTCTCTCCTGGGATAGTTAGAAGGTGTTTAGTAAATGTTCACGGCTCCCCCAAACCTCCATTCCCTCCTCCTTTAGGAGCAATGCTCTGTTGAGTGTTTCAATTCTGCTACAGTTTGTGTGCCTGTTTTTAAGAATTTCCATTGGTCTTACTTCACTGTGGCCAAGATCGAGGCTGAAAATGGGAGGTAAAGAGTAAGAACTCAAATACCCAGAGGTGAAGAGGGGAGTTGGGGGCAGGGAAGGAATTCTAAAGGGCTTGCTGCCTTTCTGTTGTCATATTAAGTCCCCGCCCACTTGACTGACACTGGACTGAATTCTGTGTAGTCGTGGGACGATGCTATGCATCGGGGGATAACATAGGTCAGTATGCAGCAGGTACTCACTACACATCTGCTGGATTGAATTTGGGTCTCACGTGATCAGACCTTGTAAGCCTGTCTGACCTTTGAAATGGCAGGGAAGGACATGGCCCCTAGTCCTGCTTTTCCTGGCCAGCATGTGCTGGGTGGTCCCCTAGGCCCGGATTCTAAAGCCCAGAATCAGTTGAATATGGTGGGATGGAATTCTGCAGGGGTGGAGACCATCGGCTTGGGAACAAAACAGACTTGGGTGCACATCCCAGCTCCCCCATTTCCAAAACGGGTATAATTATGCCTTCCTGATATCTTTCTCATCCTGAGAGTGCTAAGCGGCACATGTGGGCAGAAGGTGGACATCCTTGCCTCCTCTCACCCCTCCTTACCCTCTGTGCCCTGCAGGGTATTCTAAGGCGCAGCCATGTCGGCCCTGTACCCATCTCTGGAGGACCTGAAGGTGGACCAAGCCATTCAGGTAAGCCACCAGGCCCATGTTAGCCTGCACTCCTGATGGGGCACCCCCGGGTAATTAAGGTAGGCTTGTCTCAGAAGTTGATGGGTGTTGAGAGCCCTAGGCCCCAGGTCACCACTGCAGGGCCTGCTGGGTGGAGCAGGTGCCCAGAGGCCAAGGCAATGGAATGGAAATGACTCAACAGCTGCAGACAGGCCTCTCTCATGCGCGCTCTGTTCCAGCGCTTCCTTCACCCAAGTTCAAGTCGACCCCACACTCCTGGGCATGGTGTTTGGCCTGCTCAGCCCCCAGAAGCCTCTTCCTTCCCTCCCACCTTCCATCTCACCTGTGGTCCCAGTGAGTTTTGAGAATTTGGGACTTTTTGACTGAGAACTTAATTGGGAATTGGGCCTCAATGTCCTGGCTGCCTCAGGGAGCAAACGGGTCATGACATTTGGTGGGTCGTGGGTGCCTGGAAGACCCTCCCCCAGAAACATGGACATCTGCAGAGGCCACATGTACACACAACCTAGAAGGTTCATGGACAGCCCCCCTCAGGCATGCCAGCATACGTAATGCCCTGAACCCCAGGCTCCAAGGGCTCTGGGGTGTTCCAGCCATAGCTCACCAGCACCCCCCACCCCTCCCCAGGTGCAAGCCCGAGTCGCACCCATGATGCCCGCCCTGCCAGCCCAGGAGACAGCCGTCCCCCAGCCTTCAGGTGAGTGAGTGGGGTGGGGGTGCTCCTGGTGGACAGTGACCTCGTCTGGCCATTTCCAAGCATGGGTCTCTTGCCTGCCACTGTGCTGTGCACTCCATGCATGGTTCACAGTCACCAGTACCCTTTGAGGGGGATGTGGAGAAAACGGTGGCTTAACAAGGGCACTAACTTCCTGATTTGCAGTCACCTTCTATGGTGCAGCATGAGGGGACCAGGATGCTTGTGGTAGCCCCTAGAGTTGCTCGTGGCAGTCTTGGTCCAGGTCCTGTGGCAGCATGCTTGAACTCTTGCCCTCCTCACCGGGCACACTTCCGCCAGGAGCTGCCCTTGGGTCAGATGCCTGCCTCCCTCAGCCTGTGGATTTCTTACGAGCAGGGCCTCCTGGCTCCGGCTCCAGCCCTGGACTTTGTGTTGGATGTCTGGTCAGCGCCAAATAAAGTCAGCTGAGTTGAACACAAAGCAGCACATGAGGGACTCGGTGTCCCAGGCTGCTCCTGGAGGAAGTCAGACCCCTGTCCCTCAGACCTTCTGAGGAGAGGACCACCTTCCTCTCCCTCAGCCCCCGTGTTCCTGGGATACGCTGCATTCTTGGCAATAGACAGCATGTCCAGGCCCTGTTTCTTAATCAAAAGGCGCGACGCCATGGAAGCCAGGCAGGCGTGGCTAAGCTCGTGCCCTTGAGTAATACCTTTCTTCTTCCTTCTTCCCTTCCCACCAGTTTTGTACCCAAACCTGGCAGAACTGGAAAATTACATGGGCCTTTCCCTCTCCAGCCAAGAAGTCCAACAGAACCTGCCTCAGATTCTAGAAGGTGCCAGTGTAGGTATTCCTGTCTTACCTGATGTGGGCACAGCTGCCCCAGCTGCCCCTCCTCCTTGGTCTTGCCGTGTAAACACACTTGGATCGCCTCCCCCAGCATTCCTGCTCCTTTGCTTCTTGATGATGCTTTTTATTTTGAGCCTTCATCAGAAGTGCTGTGGGGTTTTCTGGTGTTCCACTGGCCTTGGGGTTGGGGGCCACTGCCTGCCCTTTGGCCTCTAGCTTTAGGCTGCTGGCCTGAGCCTGCTGGATGAAAACAGAGGACATTAAACCCAGCCTGAGCCTGGGTGCGTCTCAGAAGGACTTGGGTGCAGCCGCATGGACAGGCAGAGCCAAGAGGGGCGGAGCTTGTCACCCAGCTCTGGTCCCCACGTGAAACAATATTGCTTGATTCCCATTCTCCATGGCTCAGGGAGCAAAAGAAATCCTGACACAGAAACATTCGCTCCTGAAAATGTGTTCACTTATATACTCAGTCCCCACTCACATCCCTCCAGTGAGCTCCAGCATCCCTGCGGCCATTTATCAGCGTCCTTGTCTGTCAGCCTCTTGCTGAGCTGGTGAAATCAATGGCAAAGTGCGACTGCAAATCTTGCCAAGGCTGGAGGACTTCATGAAGTTAGTGGAAGTGACGAGAACTGCCACTGCCACATACATACATAGTCATTGACCAATGAGGATCTCACAGGAGAAAGTGGATTAGGATGAGGTCGTGTGGGACCGTGAGAAAAACTGGTGACCCCCTGGAGTGTGTCTTTAAAATGACCCCCTCCATAGTTATGCTGTGAAGTACAAACATGAAGCAAAGGTCATGTATATTTATATAGTTTAATTTTAATCCATTGATTTGTTCCAATCATTAGGACATAAATACATTTAACCCAAGTTTTGATAAAAATATGACAGCTGAATGCACTTTTATAGTATTTACAAGTTTTCATTGTTTTTATGTATTTTTACATAATCAGAGTCACAGAAAGTAGCAAAGGTGGTACAGAGAAGGGTAAAGAAGATTGTATGCTTCACCCAGTGGCTACATTTTACATAACAATAGCACACTATCAAAAGCAGGCATTTTTACTCGTACAATGTGCATCTGTAGTTCTGTGTCATTTTATCACCTGCATAGATGATATGTAACTATCAGCGCAATCAAAATGCAGTAGTATTTCATCACCACAAAGGTCTGCCACGTGCTGCCCCTTGATAACCATGTCCACTGCCCCCTGCCCCACCCCAACCCCTGGCAACCACTTGTCAGCTTTCCGTCCCTATAACTTTGTCATGTAAATGGAATCCTATAGTGTTTGACCTTTTCAGATGGGCTTTTTTTCTTTCAGCGTAATGCCCTGGAGATCCCTCCAAATTTTCGTGTGTGTCAGTCAGTAGTTCATCTCTTTTTATCGCTGAGGAGTGTTCCATGGTATGGATGTAACACGGTTTACGTAACCTGTTGAGGGACATTTTAGTTGTTTCATTTTTGGCTGTTACAAATTAAGCTATCATGGATATTTGTGTACAGGTTTTTGTACGGACACAAGTTTTCATTTCTCTAGGGTAAATGCCCAGGAGTGCAATTGCTAGGTTGTATGATAAATGAATGTTTAAGGGCGTGCAGCGATGGCTCATCATGGTTTTAATTTGCATTTCCCTAATGGCTATGGATGCTGAACATCCTTTCATGTGCTTATTTACCATCTGTGTATTCTTTTCAGTAAAATGTTTCTTCATAGCTTTTGCTCATTTTCTAAATGGATTATTGTTTGTTCAGTCAAGTTTTGAGAATTCTTTATTCTAGAGTCCTTCGTTAGATATGTGGTTTGTAAATATTTTTCCCCCCAGTGTATAGCTTCTCTTTTTATCCTATAAAGGGGTCTCCTGCAGAGCAAAAGTTTTTAATTTTGATGGGGTCAAATTTATTGATTTTTTGTGTGTGTGTGGGGGGGTCATGCTTTGGTGTCTTACGAAATTTTCACCAAGCCCTAGGTCCTGAAGATTTTCTCCATTATTTTCTAAAACATTATAGTTTTATGTTTTACATTCAAATTTATGATTGAGTTTGAGTTAATTTTTTCATAAGGTGTGAGGTTCAGGTCAAGGTTCATATTTTCCCCTGTGGATGTTCAATTGCTCTCACAGCATTTGTTGAAAATACTATTTTTTCTATACTGAACTTCTCTTGCACCTCTGTGAAAACGCAGTTGACCCCATTTGTATGAGGCTGTTTCCAGATTCTCTATTCTGTTCCATTGGCCCATGCGTCCGTCCTTCTAATACCACACTGGCTTGATTACTGTAACTGTACAATAAGTCTTGAAATTTGTTTGAATGTTTCCTCACTTTATTCCTTTTGTCAGGATAGTTTTAGTTATTCTAGTTCCTTTGTCTCTTGACATAAAGTTCAGATTAACCTTGACGATATTTATAAAACATCTTGTAGAGATTTTGATAGAAATTGCATTAAATCTGTATATCAGTTTGGGGAACATTTGACAGCTTGACTATGTCCCTCCAATCTATGAATACAGAATATCTCTCCACTTATTTAGATCTTCTTTGATATGTTTTATCAGTGTTTTGTAATATTCAGCATACAATTTCTACACGCTTTGTTTACTTTACACCTAGTGTTTTTTTTTTGAGTGGCTGGAAGTGGTATTATATTTTTAATTTCCGTTTCCACATGTTCATATTTAGTATGTAGATGCAGACTTCATTTTTGTTTTTGTTGATCCTATATCCTGTGGCCTTGGTGAACTTACTTATTAGTTCTAGGCGTTTACTTGTAGATTCCTTGAAAATTTCTAGTAGACCCTCATGTCATCGGCAAACAAGGACCATTTTATTTCTTCTTTTCAGATCTGTATGTCTTTTATTTCCTCTTCTTGCCTTATTGCTCTGGCTAGTTTTTGCAATACTATATTCAATAGTAGTGGTGAGCTTGGACATCTTGCCTTGCTCTGGATCTTAGGGAGGAAAGCATTCATTTATTTTTATACTTCTAGCTTAATTGTCTTTCAAGACAAAAATCAAATCGAGCCCCTCTTTCCCCTTTGCTCATTATTTCTGTAAAATCTTTCTTCTATTTTTAAGTGAATTTTAAAGGGGTCTGTCCCTAATACCAATTTGCCTTGAAAACTGAGGGCTTCTTTTCTGTATACCCCTCTCCTTTCTCCGTTTTCCTGGTTTTCAGGGGCGTGGACTCTGGCGCCCCCTAGTGGTTTTATGAAGCCATGTCCCCTCTCAGCACCTGCAGAGAAGTGTGTAGTCTGGGGATGGGGTGGTCCCCAGGGACCAATCTATTCTTTCCCCATCCCTACGAGGCCCTAGGGGCCAGCTGACCCCCTACTCCCCTGGTGTCTGCAGACAGCGATCTCGGGCCCTTCGCCAGGCCAGGTGGTGGCGCCGGTGTCGGGGAACAGCCTGGGCGCACGGCGTGCCGAGATCAGGCCTGGGGTGCGGGAGATCCACCTGTGCAAGGACGAGCGTGGGAAGACCGGGCTGCGGCTGCGGGCCATCGACAAGGTGGGGCTGAGGGCCGGGCGGGGGAGGAGGGGCCCCGGGGGGCGCCGCGCGTGCTGGGCAGCTCGGGTCCGCAGCCCCAAGCCGCTGGAGTGGGCGGCTCCTCGCGCCTTCAGGGCTTTGGCTGCACCGCCCACCAGCCCGAGTGGGGAAAACGCTGCAATGGAGGGCAGAGAGACTGGGAGCGAGGCCCACCTAACCCCCAAGTCCAGGCCCTTCCTCTCAACCCCCTCTTCTAAGGCCCCAGGGACCCGCCACCTGCCCCTCCGTGGGCTCCTGTCGCTGAGAGCCTCCCTTCCCCCCGACCTCCGACTCACAGGGGTCTGGCTGCCAGGCCACTGTGTGTAGACCGTGGAAGCCAGGGCCTTGATGCCATCGTGTGATCCTTCAGTCCAGGGGTTTGGGGTGCAGCCTCCAGCCAGGGTTGACTCTGCTTCCTAGCTGTGTGGCCTGGAATGTTTCCTTCCCAGGAAAATGGGGTAACCCGTGTACCTGCTGGCAGAGCTGTAGTCCTAGTACCCTGGGGTGGGGGTGGGGGCTGTGAGTGAGGGGAACTGACTGAGACCCTGCCTTTCCCAGGGGCTCTTTGTGCAGTTGGTCCAGGCCAACACCCCTGCGTCCCTCGTGGGGCTGCGATTTGGGGACCAAATCCTGCAGATCGATGGGCGTGACTGTGCCGGGTGGAGCACAGACAAAGCCCACCGGGCGGTGAAGAAGGCATCGGCTGAGAAGATCATCATGGTGGTTCGGGACAGGTGAGCAGCCAGCCCCGGGAGCGTCTCTGTCCACCCCCAGCCACGTCCCAGGCCGAGCTAACTATCCCTTCCTACCAGACCACTCCAGCGGACTGTCACCATGCATAAGGACAGCACGGGCCACGTTGGCTTTGTCATCAAGAAGGGAAAGGTGGTTTCTGTGGTCAAAGGGAGCTCTGCGGCTCGCAATGGGCTCCTCACCAACCACTATGTGTGTGAAGTGAATGGGCAGAACGTCATCGGGCTGAAGGTAGGCTGGTGGCCCGGCTATGCCCCGGAACCCCTGGGCCCCGGGGACTGCTGGGTGGTGGGAGGCTCCGTGTTTGTGGGCAGGCTGCCGCCCCATCTGAGCCTCAGGTTCCTCACTGTAAGCTCGCTGTGAGGATTCAATAAGACAAGGTCCATAGAGCTCCGAGCACAGTGTCAGGCACATGGGAAGTGCTCAATAATACTATCTATTGATGCGAACACATGGAGGCCAGAGGTGTGACAGAAAGAGGACATGGGATGACATGTGTAAGGACACAGGTGCCCAGGTGGCTATTGGCTGCGTGGACACCTCTCTACTCTGTGTGGCACTTCTTCTTTGCATCCTGGATCACATTTGCTAATAGGCGTATTTTAGAAAAGTGCTATTTAGAAATCTATTTCTGCCCTGTGTTCATTTTTTGAGGGTGTGTGTGTGTGTGTGTGTGTGTGTGTCTGTGTGTAGTGAGTTTAATCTTGGAAAAACAAGAAGGAGAAAGGATTCTAGAGTCAGTCCTGTGAACATGGACCGAGGGGTGGGTGCCTTCATGGAGTGGACCACGGAGGATGAGTCGTCACGTGGCTTTTGGTCTCTGAACAAGTGAATGTTTTTATCCTGACCTGATGTCACCTGGACTGAGAGTATTTCTCAATCCCAGTTGTGATTTAGAGAGAGGGTCCTTCTCCTCCTGCAGCCAGGGCTTCGAGTCTCACGTGGCAGGTCCCCCTGCATTCCCCCACCCCCCACACTGCGGAAGTGGCCTGGGCAGTGGCAGTCACTCCATAGCTGGCACAGTCTTTTGAGCCATTCTTCACCCCTCACAAGGGCCATCACCAAGCCATTCTTGTCACATATCTGCTTCCCTGTGCTTGACAGTCTCCCCCACCTTCCCTGGAGGCTTGTTCTGGTGGCTCATGAGCATTGTGATCAGGAAGTTCTTTCTAATGTCTATCTAAGATCCCTCCCACTGCATCTCTCCTTTCCTTCGGGGATCAGGCATGACAATCCAAAGGGAACCCACTACACCTGAAAACTTGAGTACACTAATACCCATTCTGAGTAGCCGATTCTTTCAGAGATTAGTGAATTTACTACTTTCAAAGCATTACAGTTCTTTGACCTTAACTATTCTGGAGAGCAGTCACTCGACATGTGCTCCTCCCTGAGGGCTCAAGGCTTCATCATGGACTTACCAGTGATCCTGCCAAAGCATAGTATTGTGAGGCGCTTAAGCACCGAGCTTGTCCGTTTTCTGAATGGCCCCAGATAGCTGTGCTTCTTGAGATCATTTATCTTTTCAAAGTTTACCTATTTTCACCCTGTGGCCATCGCTAGTCCTATCTGGCACTTCTTCTCCCATTTATCCTGGAGCAACTACGAAAACACAAACCAAGTTAGAGACACCAGCAAAGTCAAGGCCCCGAGTCTCTGAGGAAGGGCCAAGGCTTTAGCTTTTGGGCTGCTGGGCACACTTCGCACAGAGGCTTTTCGTCTCTTGTGCTCCCCAGGATCTCAGTGCTTCCTGCAGGCCTTTCTCTTTTTACTGGTCAAGAAGGTGTAAGAGGAAGGGGTCCCGTGTGGGCTTGGCTCAGGCTGGCTGGCCAGCAGGAGCCCAGCGAGTGGTGGGTGCGCCCCATGTCCCCCACCATGGTTATTCTCGTCCTGCTTTGGGGCCAGAGCCCGAGTGTGACGGGGGCCAGGGAGACGTGGGCTTGGGGAGACTTCGGGGCTCTGTGAGGGAAGGAAGGGGAGCAACGTTTGGGAGGGCCTGTTAGGTGTCGGGTCCGCGACTGGCCCTGGAGGGGAGGGTGGGAGCGCATGCTCCTGTCACCACGGAGATGCTCGGGCGGAGGCCCGTCCCTGTTCTTGCTCAAGCAATGCCTCACCTGGGTGTCACCTGGGTGTCTGCCTGGGACCCTGCCCCTGCGATCAGGTGGCAGCAGTGTCCTTTAGCAGGGATCATGCTGACCTCTCCACAGAGGGGCCTGCAGAGTTGCCCCTAGCCCCCAAGGTGACTGCTTACTCACCTCCTCTCCAGGACAAAGAGGTCACAGAGATTCTGGCCACGTCCGGGAACGTTGTCACCCTGACTGTCATCCCCACTGTGATCTACGAGCACATGGTCAAAAAGTAAGGCTGCTCCCTTCCTTCTTTCCCCCTCGCCTCCCACCTCCCTGCCACCCCAGCTTCCTCAAGGCTCATGCAGGACACAGCCTCCCCTCCCCTCCCCTCCCCTCCCCTGCTCTCCGCCCTGCCCCTCCCCTCCCTTCAGGCTGGCTGGTGGCTTCTGGTGATGTGAAAGTCTTAGAAATAAAAGTGAAGGCCTATGTGGGATGCATGGGCTGCGGGGCGGGCGGCAGGCACTGCTGGTCTCAGCCACCGTCATGTTGCTGTTTCTAGGTTGTCCCCGACCCTGCTCCACCACACCATGGACCACTCCATCCCAGATGTCTGAGGCCACGGGAGGGCAACTCAGTCCTCCAACCCTTCTGCAGGAAAGGGAGCATCCTCAAGGATGGCATGTTGTGGAGGCCTGCTGACTCAGGGTGGGGATGTCTCAACGGGGGCGTGTTCCAGGTGGGGTGACATCAGAGCACGTTGTCTGCCATCTATAACTGAGGCCTCCTTGGTGCCTCAGACTCTTTGCTGGACTAAAGCAGGGCCAGGGCCTAATTCTGTGTGCTGGTTTAAATGCTGGGCACATAAGCAGGCTGGCTAAACACGTCTTGAAGTTGCAGCTGGGTCCCTTTCAAGATTTTGTCTTTGCCAGAAAAACAGTTCCGTGTTTTGAGAGAACAGAAATACATTCTTTGTGAGAATTTTTTTCTTTTTCCTTCACTTGATCTTTGTCACAAACTGTACATATTTGTAACCCCGCACTCTCTTTTGAATAAAGATTTGATTTTAAATAAAATTCCTTCCTCAAAAGTAATTGACAATTTCAGAATTTCAGTCCCATGACTTGCCAGGGCTGGTTTTCTTTTAAGCCATCGCGAGACCAAGGCCTTTTCTACACACTGCCTCTGAGAGCAGTGATTTGGCTCTGCCACTGTCACAGGCTGCCTGCCAGTCTGTGATGACTAGAGTGGGGGACCACTGTGAGACTCTGGAAGAGGGGCACTGGCTTTGGAGCACCCCTGTTCAGTGGCCTGAGAACCACCTCAGGGGTGCTGGAGAAGAGGGAATGCGTGCACTGACAGGGTCTGACACTTGGGGACCAAGGGAGGCGCTTCTAGATCCTTTGTGGGACCCCCATGAGAGGCGTGGGCCCCAGCTGCCCACATCCTTTGACCTTGGAAGAGATCTCTGCTGCTCGGCTTTTTCCAGTGTGCACGTTATGTGTCCCATGCAGGCGGGGACAGTTGGAGCCCCCCTCACCCCTCCCCCTGAAAAAAGACGATACAAAGAACACAGGCTGAGGGTCTTGTGTGTTTCATGCTTTAATTCAGAGCTGCCTGCTGTAGGTATAGCTCTGTCTGAACAAAGGGACAAAGGGGACGAAAGTGAAGACTCCTCCCCACCTCCCTCCTTGCTGGGTCCCCTGAATTCTGTCAAGGGGGTGGCCGACTATGAGGGTGCACTGTGATTCATTTGCACTGTGCCCCACGTCAGAGAGGGGATTAGGAGCTCACTGGGCAGAGGCCCCTCAGTAGGCCTTTGCCCAGAGCCTTGTCATTTGACCACCCCTCCCCACGGAGCTGTCAGATACCCCCGTGCCCGTGGTGACTGGGAAGGTGTTCCGTGAAAAGCTAAGTTATCCCCTTGGGAGATATTTGGTTAAACTCCGCTCGAGGCCAGCTCTGTGAGCAGAGTCCTGGCCCTCGCCTCTGACTACTGCCTGCACCTGGATCAGAGCAGCAGCAGGGCCACTCTGGCCCCGGGCCTCACAACTGAGAGGCCTCTTCTGACTACTGGGCTCCAAGAAACCAGCAGATGGTTCCTGGGAACACTGCCCCTTAGGATCTAATCAGCTCTGGCCAGGGGCTGGGGAGAGCGGACGCCCCTGAGATTTCTGCTCCAGAAGCCAAGGGCAGGAGGGAGAAGTCGCAGCCCACCAGGAGGAGGTATGAAGCAGGTATTTGGAGGATGAGCACTCGACAGCCCGGCCGCCAGCCTTGCCCCACAGCCCCGCATTCTGTGCCCTGCATAGTCAGGGGCTCAGGCTGCTGTGCCTCTACCACCCGGAGCTGCACAGGCTGCACTGCACCTTTTGCATAGATGCGGACACTGAGCACACACACGCACACACGCAGGGGCCCCACGGGACCACCGACCAAATGGTCCCCCAGGGCCTGTCCCAGTGCTGGCCAGTGAGCTGCCTCCTCCTCTGACGTGAAGAGAAGCCTGTGGAAGGTCCCATCAGACTCCCCAAAAAGAGGACCCTCACACTGTGGGCGAGGGTCCCTGTGACCCAGACACGCAGGTCTCGAGCCAGAGCAGGAATGGAGGGTGGCAGCCGGCCCCACTCACCTCATCCAGAGGCCTTGGGTCCAGGCCCGGGACAGCCCTTCACCAGCGGCTTCTCCAGCAGCAGGGACAGCAGGACTGTGGCCCCAGCCCTGACCACGTCCACCAAAACACAAGACACAATAGGAAGGCCACAGACAGCAAGACACGGACAGGAGCAGAGGGGCTACGCAGCTCCACTAAATTCCAGTGGTGAAAAATATATAGGTTTTAGGTTGTCAAGTAGAGTCATACATTTATTTTCTCGGCAAAGCTTTGACTATTTCTAAGGAGACGCTATGCAGCTCCGTGAGTACACGGCACAGGAGGCTGGGTCCGCAGCCCGTCCTGGCTTGGCTTTGGATTGGGTTTGTCCACTGCCCCTCCATGTCATGACCCCAGTGTCCTTGGGGCAGCCCCGCCAGGCCCCAGGAGTTCAGGTTTGGTTCGGCTGGGGCGGGGGGCGCTCCACAAAAGATGGCTGGTCTGAGGCCCCGACCGACGGCGGGGAGCTTTGGAGGCACAAAGCGCGTGGCAGAAGGGGCTGCGGCCCCGACGGCTGGGCTGGCCGCCCACTCCCAGTGCATGCAGGCGCCCCCTCTCGCAAGGAGGGCACGGAGAGGAAGGGCGGAGCCCATGAGTCAGGCAACGGCTGTTGGAGCGGCAGGGGCGGGCAAGCAACCTTGGCAGAGAACCAGAGTGTCCCCTAGGCCAGGGGGGCGAGTAGGACACAGGGTCCCACCAACTCTCTCAAGTGTGGGGCCTAACTCTGAAGAGTGGGCGGGATGACCAGATGGGTGTAAGCCCTGCAGGGGAAGAGGCGCGGATTTACTTTGTAAAATAATAACGGTGGTAAAATGTCAGCAGCTTTGCTGGGGGGCCCAGATATGGTCCCGGGGAAGGAGGGGGGACAGAGAACTTTCCCAGGCCAACTGGGCTCGGACGGGAGCAGGGAAGCTGCAGGGCTCCCACTGGCCCTGCCCTGCCCCTGGTCAGGACACATCCCGGGGCACCCTGCTTTGTCCTAGATAACGTCACGGCTTCTGTACCCCATCTTGCCCTTCATCCTGCTGAATCCTGCCCCCCTCCACCCCCGGCAGGTAGATCTAAGATTCAGGAACTAAGATTCCCTCACCCTGGAAAGCAAGCAGCCACTTCACAGGAGATCTTGGGAGGCGTGAGACCCAAACCCCAAAGTGAACAAAGTGCATGACAGAAATTGGGCTGAAGCCCCCAGAAAAACTTGGGGCCAGCTCCAGGGGCCCTCACGGCCCCTGCCTTTTCACACCTGCTGAGGACTGCTGAGTCCAGCCCTGCCTCCCAAGCCTCACCTCCAGGGCTGGAGGGGTCCCCTGAGCTGCAGCCCCTGCCTCCTCTCCTTGTGCTGGCAGGCTCTCTGGAGGGGAGCATTCCTGCCCCTGTGGCGAGGAGCCTGTCCGGCTGAGCTCTCACAGGAAGAATTATCTGACACACCCAGAAGCGCAGGAGGAAAGTGGGTCGCGGGGGAGGTCTGGGAGGAACAGACGGATGCAGCCCCCATGCTGCCCTCGGCTGCCTTTTGCCTATCACTGTCTCTCCTCTAGCCCATGACCTTGACTCTGCTTCTGAATCCCAAAGTGGGGAGCAGCTTGAGGAGGCTGGAGCTCCAGCCCAGGCCCAGGGCTTGCAGACCCGGCTTGAGGTCTTGGGGTCAGGCGCCTGTTCTTTGGACTGCAGCTGCCTCCACGTGAGGACATAATACTGGCCCAGAAGCCGGGCTGAGGGCAAGGGGTGGCCTGGGAGAGGAGGCATGGAGTGAGCAGGGAACTGGACAGGATATGGGGTTCGGGGCACGAGGAGGCTTCTCGGGCCCAGAGTCCCCAAATCAATACACTGGAGACTTCCTGAGCAGGGGCTGTCCTTGTGAAGGGCCAGGGGGCGGGGCCTCACCACCTTCCCTCTCTGTGGTGCGTCCAACCAGCATGCCTCCCTACCCGGGGTCTCTCTTCCCTTCTCTCCTGTCCAAGCTTTGGGATGCCTTTCTCCAATCCCGGCTCCCAGCCCCCCGACACTTTTAACATCCTAAAAAAAAAAAATACCCACTTGCAACCCAATACTAAATAAATAAGATGATGCCCCATGGGGATGTGCGAGAGGGAGGATGACACCCCTAGAATCAGCGGTCAGGCTGCCGGAGCCCACTGGCCAGACGGGCCTCCTCAGAGCTGGGAGCCGCTGGCCGTGCCCGGGCCCTGCTGGCTCAGCGAGCGGCAGCTGATCCTGCGGATGGAGTGCAAGGCCACGGTGCAGCAGCCCCGCAGCAGGGAGCTGATGTTGTAAATGGGCTGCCCCTGGCGCCGCTGGGAGCGGCAGAGCCAGGCCACCGTGGGCACGGCCGGCACGACCACGGCCAACAGATCCACAATGTAGTGGCGGCTCCAGTAGCTCTTGGGCTCCTTCTCGGCTCCGGCGGCCTCCTCCTCCTCTTCCATGGGACACGCCACGCTCACCGACAGGCTGGGGTTGGGGTTGGCACCAGGCCCGTGTGGGGTGGGCCCACGGGTGATGGGCACCGGGGCCTCAAGCTCATCACCCACCGTCACCACCACTGCTGAGTTGGGGTCTCTGGGCCCTGGCGGGTGGGGATCCGGCTCCGGGCAATTGTCCCCTGACTCAGGGCCTGTCCCACAGACCTGGGCCTTGGTCACCTTCTCCAGGATGGTGTCCAGGTCAGGCTGGTATTGCACCAAGTCTGTCTGGATGGCACGCTCCTGCATGCAGCTGGCCTGCACGCCAGCCTCCATGCCACACAGCAGCTTCTCGTAGGTGTTGCTGGCGGGGAAACGGGGGCCCAGGCTTAAGGAGCTGTATTCCTCAGGGCCACAGTCCACCCCTGATGACAGCAGGCTGCTGGCCTCCAGTGCGTCCGTCCGGCTCATCGCGTCATCGTTCGCCACGAAGCCACTATCAGCCCCATCCTCCGTGGAGGAGCCGGGGTGGTCCCCAGGGGGGTGGTCACCGCAGACGGCTGGGTCACTCAGCTTGGTGTAAGTGGAGCTTCGGGTGAGGGAGCGGGCCGGAGACCCGCCTGCTGACCCCCCTGTGCCGTCCTCCTTGGCCGTGCCGTTCTGGGCCACCTCCATGCTGTGCAGCAGTGTCTCCAGTTTCTTGTTCTGGATGTTGATGTCCACAAAGTACTTCTGCAGCCCTTTGTCCTTGTCAATCAGGTTGTTCTTGACAGTGTCAATGACCTGCTTGAGCTGCTTGATCTCCTTGCGAGCCTCCTTCAAGGCCAGCTGGGCCTCCACGCGGTGGCACTCCTCCTCGATCCAGTCCTCCTGCATGCGTGACAGCTGCGTCTTAAGGTCATCGATCTCTGTGTCCCTGCGAGCAGACGAGACACACAGGCTCACCGCCTGGCCTGTCTCTGCTACCAAGGACAGGCAAGGAGCGGGCTGTCCCCAAGGACAGAGGGCCTGTGCTAGTGTCACTCAGAGCTAAAACTGGACGGAACACCTCAATGTTTCCTTCCTCCTTGTCTTTATTCCACAGGGGGAGTGAGTGTGGGGGGCAAAGCCAAGGTGCCAAGAGAGGAGAGGCCTCGTTCTGGGTGGGGGCAGCAGATATGGCGATAGCAGACGCCACACATGGCATTCCCCGCCCGCCCCCAGCCTCACCCCCCCCAGAGGCTTAAATGCAGATGACTGTCCACATTTACAATAGATGCGTTACCTACAGAAGAGATTAGACAATAAAGATTCTCAGTTTTACAATGCGACTACTGTGAAAACCTAATACAGCCATATTAAAATCTTGACATTAAAGCAATAAAAATGAAAGCTAAACTCTCTGCTCTATGGAAAGAGATGTGGCCTCCGACTAAAGCTGGCTGTGGAAATTTTAAATGGGGCGATATTTGGCCAGAGACCCCAGGGACAGGGAGGCGGACCACTTAGTTTTCAAGAGAGAAACTACCACTTTCAGTGTGTATGGGGGGAGAGCTGATAATTTTCCATCTTCCCTCAAGTGGAGGTAGAAATGGTGGATGAATCAGAGGAGAGTGATGGAAACAGGGTGGCCCTCCTTTATCCAGACTAGATGTTTCTTTTTGGCATTTACTGTAAAGAGGAAAGTCAAAAAGATGGATGAAAGAGGCACAGAGCTCCGCCTGAGAGGGGAGGGAAGTGCCAGCCAAACAGGATGGTTGGCAGACTCTCGTCCAGAAACTCTCAGGCTTTTCAAATCCACAAGTCACAGACTAATCCAGGGTCCGGGAAGGGCACAGCGGGAGGGAGGCGAGTTAGACAAAGATGCCATCAAGCCCAGAGGTGAAAACCAGGGTGAGACTGGGCAGGACGGGGGAGAAGCAGTAAGGAAGGGGGAAAGTCCTTCCCGAGGCTGGAGCTGCATACTGGGTGTTCCTCCGGCACACCTGACAGGGATACGGCCCACACCATGTCAGCCCAAGCCCTACATTCATGTCAATAAAATCCACAAATGGCCCACCATCACTTCAGGGCTTATGAGCCCAGGAGAGTGACGGTCCCAGATTTAGCACCATGTATTTTTCATTCAGACTGAAAACTCAGTTCAGGAAATGGGCCAAGGAATCTCATGGAGGGCCTGAGACTTCTGGGCCCACAGGAGGGCCTGGGCAGAGGGCCCGTGGTGGCCACCAGGTCAGCCATGGCATCATCTAGAAGGGGCGAGAGCACTGACAGGACACAACTCGGTGATGGCAGCGGGAGCCGGAGCTGCTCAGACAGCCACAGACATGCTGACAGGTATCGGGGTACGTGTTCTGCACGCTTCCCACCTCAGGGTGGGGCGCCCTGGAGGGTGACCCTCCTCACTGCCATGGAGCCATGGGAGGAAGGGTGGGTTTGGAAGAAGGAACTTGGCATGCTCAGTTCGGCTGGCCCCTTGCCCTTCTCCTTCGAGCCACCAGGACCCGGGGAGTTATGGCTTTGCAGCCCTGCCTAGGACATTCCATTTGAACTGAGTCTTGAAGGATGAGTTTGCCAAGGAAGCAAGATGGGGAAAGAGCATCCTAGGAAGTGGGGACACAGCATACGGAAGCAGCGTGTAAAAGAATTTCGAGAAGGTAGGCTATTGCAAGAATGGCAGGTATCAAACTGAATATATGGTGAATGTGACTGTCTAGCAAGTAAAGAACCGCCACAGGTCCCTGAGCAGGCAGAGCGGCTAGGGATCTGAGGTGTAGGCATGTCCATGACAGGGCATCCTGCCCAAACCACGCAGGGCAGATGGCCTACTCTGAGTCGCTGGGCCAGCCCTAGAAAGGAAGCCGGGAGATGGGCCGTCTGCTTCCTGAGGACATTAGTGCAAAGAGCCAAGCAGGGCATCACTGAAAAGATGAGGGGAACTAAAAATAGAAATCCTAGCTCTACAGACGAGGAGGCCCACAGAATACCACGGGTACCTCCCACACGTCAAACCCACGACAAATCCAAACTGATGGGCGGGGCTCTGGTCAAGAAAGACGTGGCCATGCACTTATCGGCAACGTCTGGAGTAGACAAATCCATAGACACAGAAAGATTTGTGGCTGCCAGGGACTGGAGTGGTTGGGGGAAAATGGGGGGTGACTGCTACTGGGAGTGGGGTTTCTTTTTGGGGTGATGAAGTGTTCTGGAATTAGATACCGGTAATGGTTACACAGTTTTGTGGGCATAACGAAAATCATCAAATTATATGGTATGTGAATTATATCTCGATCAAGCTGTTATATAAAAAAAAAAAGAAGGAAGATGTGGTTGTCCGTGGCTTGCCTTGACCTCCAGAGCCCCCAGACAGCACCTCATCTAGCTCACTGTCCCCTGCATATTTGAATCGACACAATCTGGAGAAGATGGTTAAGACATGAAAGGGTCAGAAGGCGGCCCTGAAGCTTCCATTATAAAGATGAGGCTGCCAACGTGGGAAGGTAGAGGCTGGGGGCATCGGGATTGGCCCTCAGGTCCAAAGAATGTGCTCAGGTGGGCCTGAGGGGGCTCCTGGACGACCCCTGGGCTGGGTAGGGGTTCAGTGAAAGGTTTCTCCTGATTGTACATCATCTATAAGTAGATGAGAAGAAAGGCTTCTGGGGCCCAAACTGAGTCACCAAGAGCCCCCTGGTGACTCCCTGGGAGGAAGCAAAGCCGGGCCAATGGGTTGTTTCCACAGAGAAGGAAAGCCCTGTGCTCCTGCTCCCCAGATGGAAAGAAGCCAGGGGTAAGAAGTGGCCAAAAGGGGCTGCCAGGCTGAAACTGGGAGAGCACTGCTCTGGGTGGGAAGTCCGACAACCCCTCATAGCGGAAACCGCTCCCAGCCTGGTCCCTGAAGTAGTCAAAGGCTGAGGGGAGGACAAAGACAGGTGGGGACTCTGGAAATGGGCTCCAACAGGACTTCCTTAGAAAAGGAGGCCCCAGCCACTCCTTCCTCCCAGAGATGCCCCAGGGCCTTGGCTCCTGAGTGTGGAGCTGGTGGCGTGTCCCCAGGGCTGCCCGGGGCTGTCCCTGGCTGCCTGCTCACCGGTCCTGGAGCCGGTCTTGCGTGTCCTTCAGCCTGGCCTTCAGGTGCCGGATACACACCTCCTTCTGCTGCAGTGGGGTCAGGTACTGTTCAGGGGTAGGCGGCTTGATGCCATGGTTGTCACTGCACAATGTGTATCTCATGGAGCGCCTGTAAGGGGATGCTTGTCAGCCAGGAGGGACAGAAAGGACAGCAAGGCACAGACACTGTGCCTCCAGGAAGCAAGGGGACACCGGCCTCACCATCCGGGTCCCACAGCCACCAGGTGGCTCCAGGCCAGGCCTCCTGCCTGGAGTCAGGGCTCATGTGGGCATGAGAACACCCAGCCCTTCTGGAAGAAGGGTTTTATTAAACCTCTTCAGAGTGAAGACCACAGCATCAGGGTGGGGAGCTCGGGCTCCTCTAGTTGGGGGTGGGGAGACCTCTTACAGAGCACGCGCACAAGCCTGGCAACCATGCCGGGCACTCTACTGACACCACCTCCACCATTATAAAAATATTATAATGACACCCCCAGTGGTACATCCGAGAGAGGGCTCAGGTGTCCAGTCTCCTGACCCAGAGAACAAGTTTGGGGCTGGAGGCTGGGGTGGGAGGGCCTCTCCCTTCCCGTCACCTGCATACACACTTACTTGGAGTGCACATCTGAGTACACTGATTGCTCGTCCATTTGTGCCCGCACGCCTACATGTGTGAATATACATCCATGCCCACGCATCCCCACGGGCACTCGCGTGTACTAGGACACCAGCCCACGCATGCGTTCACACAAAGGCACGCACACCCTTCAGCCTGGGGCGTTGTGAGCACACTCTGGGCATTGACCCGTTAACAGTTGTACCCTGAGGTGGCAGCAGGCTGGACGTGCACTGCTCCAGTGCCTCTTGCTCCCCTGCACGCGGTGACACCAACGTGCATGTGCAGTGAGCAGACCCTGGTCCCACCGGCGCAGAGGAGAAGGAATTCCCACCCAGTGGGGGAAAGTGGGCAGAGGTTCGCACCCAGGGAAAGAGGGCACCCCAATTCCACCAAGAGACCATACCCCGGCCTCCTCGATTCCCAGCTTCCCGCCTGCCGCTTGTTCTGTTCCCCCCAAAGTCCCCTTGGATCTTGGCTTAAAAACCTCACACAACTAGGCAGAGGCCTTGCTGCCACCCAACTCCGCTCCTTTAGGGGACAGAGACTCCCAGGTCTAGGGAAGGGCAATGACATATGACAGGCCTGGGAAAGACAGGCCCTGGTGAGGCCCGCTGCTGCAGCAGCCAAGTTGGAGGCAGTCTTGAAAGTTTTGTGGACGCTGTCTAATGTTTACTGAGGAAAAGTATGTGTAAATTGTTGAAGGGAAAGTGGCAATAGAAGTGGAGAGAAATAAATGATTCTCTTCTGCGTACTGACCTCATGGTCCCTAGGTTTAATTCCAGTCAAGTCGCATGTGGGCCTGCTTTCTATGTGGCAAGGGGCAGAGGCGTGGTGTGGGGTGGGAGCATGGGAGTTCCCCTCTGGTGGGCTCTAAGAACTCTCTTCCCCAAAGAGAAGCAAGCTTGCAAGTGCTGCGGACCTCAGATGGCCTGAAGTCCCTTGCGCTCGTCCTGCAGACATCCTGGTACCCTGCAAAGATGCTGGCTAGCGGGGCACCGATTTGTGGTATAAAACGAGGTCTTCTCCCCATGCCCAGGGGTGGAGGAACCAGGGTTACTTAAACGAGTAAGAGGTGAGGATTAGAGAGGAAATAATGATTTTAACTTTTCCCATTTACTTCATGAGTGTTTTCCTCCAATAGAACATTGAACACTCACACATTTGCCATTACTAGCTCTATCTTTGTGGGGAAAAATTATACATATATAAGAAGAAAACTATTCTATGATGCGTGCCTCTCAACTAGTCATGCTTTGGAACACCTGGCTATTTGCAGCAAGGCCACAGCCGAGGCCCCTCCATTCCTTCTCATGGTGGGCAAGAAAACCCTTCCATAGAAGCAGTTGTCAGTCTCAGGGTTGGGACTGCCCCCCATGGGCTGCAGTTATGACGTGCATGACAAAAACCTGCTACTAAAGAAAAAGTATCAAAGTCGCCAATCATATGCTTTTCAAAATGTAATTTAAGAAATCAATCTCACTTAGGCCCCCTAGGTTCTGGGATGGGGTTACAGACAGGCTGCTGGGGCATGGGTCCTGCACACACGTCAGCCATTATGTGTGTCATGGCAGAAAATCCTGAGAACTGTTGTCTGAGCACAATCCAGACATCACTTCACACGAATGACACCGTCTCCACTGGAAAGGTCAAGACCAGCCTGCCTAGGGGGTCCTCTGGCCAGGGGAGCCGCAGGCCAGAATCTCCTGGCCTTGTCTTGCCCACAGCTCTCAAGTTGGACCAAAGTCCTAATGACTGCAGGTACCAGCTATGCGCCACCTACAGATATCAACCCACGGAAGCCTCTGGGTCGTCAGCTCCACTTGACAGATAAGGGAATAGAGACTCCGAGACAGGAAGTAACAGCATCCCAAGCCCACACTCTTCAACCTCCACTTGTATTTCAACGCCCGGCAAACAGGATGGTGCAGTCAGTACAGCTCTAACTTCCTGGTCTTTGAGGGTCCACAGCTCCCCTTTATCTGCCTCCTCAACCCTGCATCCTGCTTTTCGAGTCTGGGTCCACCTTACCTGAAAGCGCAACTTAGCACATGCTGCATTTGTAACACCCTTTGCTTTCCAGACCAACTCCATCTCTGCCACCTGCAAAGTGCCCCCTTGAGAAAAGCTACATGGCAGACACTGTGCGTTACCTTCCAAGATCCATGCTTGCTTCTTACCCAGCAGACCTCCCATTTTGTGGGGTGACATTGTACCAGGGAGAACACTAACTCTCCCCATGCTACCCAGTCCTGCAGCCAGTTCCAGTCACATCACTCGGCTCCTGCCAGTAAGGTGTAGAAAGAATTTCCTGCAGAAGGTGTCCCTTGTCAGAAAATGTGAGCCCCTGGGGGCCGGGAGGCTTTGGGCTTTCTACCTTTTTCCTTCTTGGATGTCAACCTGATGCGTGGAGGTGTAGGAGCCATCTTGTAATGACAAGCACAAAAGCTTACACCAAGGATGGTGGAGCAGAAAGACAAGAAACGGGGTCCCTGACGCTTCAGAGAGCTGCCTGCCTCTGGCCCCTTGTTCTGAAAGCATCACCCCTAGTTTGTCTAAGCCACTGACTTTGGTTACGTGCAGCTGGATATTATCACACCCACCTTATAGGCAGGAACTGAAGCTCAGAAAGGAAGTGACCTGCTCAAGGTCGCACACACAGCCAGTGAGTGCTGGGGGTGGACAGAACACCCACCTTCCCCTCATCCCCAAGACCCCCATCTCCCAGACATCTGGGCCACGCAGGGCCAGGGGGAGGGCCAGTTACCTGGGCGTGGGGCTGCTGTCACTGCCCTTGCAGGAGCCCGAGTTGCTGCTGCTGCTGAGAGAAGAGGTGCCGTAGGCATCCCGCACGCTCACGGGTGGAGAGGTGCGCCTGGAGGCAGGAAGAAGAGGCAGGTGCTCGTTCTGGCTGGCGGGCAGCTGCGGACACTGGGCGAACACCGCCAGGCCGCTGCGGCCCAAAGGGCCCCCGCTTCGGGGTCACCGCCGGGAGAGCAGCAGAAGGGAGAGGGGGATGCACAGACAGGGGTGACAGAACAGACAGTGCAAATCAAGATGGAAAACCAGAAGAAGCCCAGTCTTCCTGGCTCCCCAGGACAAGAACGGAGGTTGGGCAGGGCTGCAGGCCCGGGGGTGGGGACCAAATCTGCCCCTGCCAAGGGGCCTCAACTTCCAGGTCCGCCAAGCACAGAGGAGACGGTCCCTTCATGGGCTGAGACAGAGGTGGAGAAGAATGGTGCAGGCAGGAATGGGGGCGGCAGGAGGGGCACACGGGTGGAAACCAAGAGAGGCCACGCGAGCCCGAGTGGAGGACTGCACGACACTCCTCCAGTGACTGTGAAGATCAAACCACAACGCGGATGATGGCAGGAATGCAACGGTTTAAGTCTTCAGAGAACTTTACATCCACTGTGTCCTGTGAGCCCTTAAATCGTTCCAGGAGGAGGTGAGTGTTAGCAAGCCCATTTTAAAGATCAGAAAACTAGGGAAACGACTTGCTCCAAGACATACTGCCAGTCGGTGGCAGAGTGGGGACAGAGACCCTCCCTCCTCTCACCCTCTGAGGCTGAGGCTGGGCCTGGGGGAGACTCACCTACGGGATCCAGCCGAGGCCCGTCTACCGCCCGACAAAGACATGGCCATGAGGCTGCGGGTCCGGGTGAGCGGTGGGATGGGTGGTGTCCCCGGGGCTGAGGAGAGAGGGTGCGTTGGGGGGGCCGCGGGGAGGGCCGGGCCAGGCCACGTCATCCTCTCGCTGGGGCCGCTGCCCGGCATGGCTTCTCCTCTCGCCCTTCAGCAAGACACCCAGGACTGAGTGAGGTCCTGGCAGGCCAGGCTCTGAACGCAGCCGCCTCCACCAGCAAATTTAGCAGGCTCCTGCCACCCGACTTAAAATTATTGGCAGAGTCTCAGGGCAGCCAGACCGACCCTGTGTTCTCCAGATGAGTGAACGTGCCCCAAGGAGAACGAAGACCTTGCCCAAGGTCACGCAGGCATCGGGGCAGGGCTTCCTGACTGCCGACGCAGCTCTGAGCCTTCTATACTATGAGCCAGGCCTCCTGGGTCCCTGACACTTGGACCCCCACCCTGTGCTGGTCAATCCTCCCTCCTCGGCAGGGGCTGCAGGCTGGAGGACTCCTGGCGCAGAACCAGGAACCCCAAATTATGCTGGGCTAGTCTTGACGTCACCTTCCCAGAGTGCCCGTTGGCACGTGGCTTGGGGCTTCCCGTCTACAGGGGAGACAAGACAGACCAACATACCAGCACACGTGTAGAAAGACATATGGATACACATGATCATGAAAAGGTATCGTGTCCTCAACATTCCAAGGCGTGCCACACAGGTCTCAGCAAACATGCTCAGGGAGCCGGTGCGCCAGACAGGCCATGCAGCTGGGCCCTCCCGCACACGTGCTGCACACAGGCATGCCAGCACCCATCCGTGCAAAAGCACACGCTGATTTTGGGATGCACCAGGACCTCAGGGCACAGGCTCATAGCAGGTGACGACTGGGGTGAGTAGGAACCAGGGGGGTGTCTCAGTGGGCTGGGCCCAGTAGAAAGTGACCATATCTACAGAGACCCATCATTGGCACTCTGGACAAGTGGGTAGGGCTCCTGCCCAGGAGTCCCTAAGCCCCTCTCCTGGGAAGGGACTTGGTCCCCAAGGGCAGCCCAGGGGTTTCAGGAGGGGAGGCCCCATGCTGGGCTGGGTGTTGGCTGCTGTGGGGAGGAGACCGCACTAGGCATCAGCCCAGGGCTCCTGGGGCCCGAGGGGGGAGGGGCCTGAGCTTTTTGCAGCCAACATGCTAGTCCTGTGCCAGCTCCTGAGACGCCAGTTCCCTTGTTCCCTGCTCAGAGCAGGGACTAAGGACAGTGGCCTGGGTGACAGGAGACTTGGCTGAGGACATGTACCCCGGACCTTCCTCCATGCTGGGAAACAAGCGTTCACCAAGCCCCACTCAACGGCAGACCCCAGGCCAAGCACGTTACATACATTACGTCATCGACTCCTCCCAACAACCCTATGAGGAAGTGCTGCGATTAGTCCCTTTACAGATGAGGAATCCGAGAGGGAAGGGACTTGCTGAAGACACATCCCCAGTGTGTGGCAGGGCCAACACCAGACGCTGAGGGGCTGGATTTCAAATCCTGGAGTCCCCAGCCCAGGGCACCACCCCTTCCCACGTCAGGGCCTCTGGGGAGCCCAGTCATCCTGGCCAGTGGTAGGGCTGCCTCCTGAGCAGACAAAGGCACTACTCAGGTGGCCTGTTTCCTGGCTGTGACACAGATGCAGCCTGTTCCCCTGGAGGGCCTCGACACAGCCAGTATTGTCTGCCCGGAGGTGTCGGGTGCCGGTACAGGAGCCTCCGACACCATGCCTGTCACCTGAGCAGCTCGCCCCTGCTTGGCGATGCATCCCACCCATCACGCCCCAATCACCCAGGCAGGACCTCCTGGAACTGTAGGGTCGGCACTGGAGGAGGAACCATGGGATAGGGGCTGGGGCGAAATGGTGCCCCTACACTTGTGTCAAGAAAACCACCAATGGCTCATTGCCTCCTGCCTCCTGAGCACAGGATGACCTGGACTAGGAGTAGCCGGAACAGGGCAGGGGGTGACTGTTCTTCCTCATGGGTGAACAAGGGCTTCAAGGATCACCTGTCGTTGACTGAGCCCTTTTGTGGCCAGGCGACCATGCTGAGTGCTTTTGTGTGGCCCGGTCCATTTCTTCAAATATCAATCCTTCAAGGCAGGCGGGATTTGTTATCGCATTTGGGCCAGGGTCCCACAGCAGCAGATCTAATAAACCCCGGCATCTAGCCCCAGTCAGCCTGGCTTCACCGGCGTCCTCCCATCCTCACTCCCTCCCTTCTGGCTTTTGGGGGGGTGCAAAGAGGAGGCTGTGCCTTCAGGAGCACTTCTCAGCAGAGGCGGGACTCAGATCTGAGGACGGGACTCCCTCTTCCGAGCCAGCTTGGGTGAGTGTTGCTATAAGGAGCTAGGAAAGGCCAGGTGGAGTTCTAGGCCTAGGTCTTGGGAGGCAGGCACGATGCCTGGCTTGCCTCGGAGCTGCGTGTGGGTCTGGTACAATGAGGTCTTTGTCCCAGCTGTCCCTGCCCCTACCTCGCTTGGCAACCCCACGCCTCCTCCTTTTGAGCTCCCGTCTTCCTTCCTCTCTGGCCCAGGGGTGGGAATGGGATGGTGTTTATACCTGGATGGAGCCAACAATCCCTTGGGAGGCCAGAGCCAGCCATTCATCCAGAACAGAGGTGGAAGTGGCATTTCCCCTGCTGAGACGGGACCTCGCAGGCAGGGGTCCCTCATGGGAGAGCAGAAGCCACCCAGGCCCAAAGGGAGCCATCTCTCCAGGATCCTGCTGCGAAACCTCGGTGTCGGGCCTGTGCTCCCTTGGTTCTTTCCTCCCCTCTGGGCCCCAGGGAGGAGGCAGGTTGCCATGGTGTCTGTCACCACGCCGCCTGCTTGGCCTGGAGTCCCGCAGCAGGCCTGTCCCCAGGTGGCCAGAGGCTGCCACTTGGAATGGAGGATAGAAAGGAAACCCTTAGCTGTGGGGAGCGGGGCTCATAGTGTGTCACCACCTCAACCCCAGAGTACTTGCAGACCCAGCCCTTTCTCACTCCAGCGTCCCTCCTTTTCCCCATCCTGCCACACCATGGCAACCTGCTGCGTCTACCCCTTTTGATCAGTCCCTCACGTGCTGAGCATTTCCTGAAGACCTATGGGGGTCCAGGAGAGACAGAAGGAATTAGGGAACAAGAGATGGAAGATGCAGAAATAGTCAAACAGACGTGGGCTGAAATCTCAGCTCTGTCACTCTCCAGCTGCACGCCTTGGACAAGTCATGCTACTTCCCTGAGTCTGAGCTTCCTCATCTGTAAGTGGGGCTACGGCAGAATGTACCTCACATGGTTACTGTGAGAATAACACGGGAGAAAGCAGGCACGGGGCTTAGGTCTGAGCCCATCATACAACAAACACAAAAAAGCAGGAATGTTCAGGATTTTGGAAGTACATAATTGCAAAGTAATGGGAACTTCAAAACAGAAATGCATTCAAGGCATAATGGGGGCCTCGGGAAGGTCAGGGAAAGCTTTTCCAAAAAGAAATTTACTCTGGGTCTTGAAGGATGAATAGGAGTTCACCAGTGGGAAGGAAGAAACCTGGGCAAAGGCAGTGAGTAACTCAACAGCACAGCTGCTCAGAAAACTAAGGGGCCTGGTGAGGGCAGAGTCACAGAGAGGGTGAGGCTGCGGAAGGCGGCGGGGCCAGGCCATACAGAGCTCATGTTAGCCTGCACCCCTGCTGGGGCACCCCAGGGTAACTAAGGTAGGCTTGTCTCAGAAGTTGATGGGTGTTGAGAGCCCCAGGCCCCAGGTCACCACTGCAGGGCCTGCTGGGTGGAGCAGGACCTCCGATGGTGAAGGGACATAATCAGCTTTGCATTTTAGAAAGCCCCTGGGTAGGAGGCCTTTGTAGAGTGTGGCTGGGAAGGGACAAGAACAGAGGCAGGAC